TCCCCGCACCTCCTAATCGGGGAACCCCCGGCCCTGCCAGCCGGGTGCTGGGCTCCCTGCACCTCCTACTCAGGGATCCCCCTGTCCCTGCCAGCTGGGTGCTGGGCTCCCGCAGCTCCTGCTCGGGGACCCCCCTGTCCCGGCTGGGCTTCCTTGTTCAGCACAGTGGCTTGGGGCCACCATGCGCAAGGCACAGTCAAGGACAGCGGGGGTGGGGGTGGGGGATGGCTTCAACCCCACCTCACATCCTCCTCTACACTGCAGTGGGGCTCAGTCTAGGACCCAGGCACCCACAGGCACCCGGCCACAGACCTTCCCTCTATTATCTGCTCCCATCCCCCATTTTGCCTCTGCCATCTGTCACTACGGGAGCCTGACAAAGACTATGACATACATCCCCAGGGCAAGCATCCTCCCTTGGATTCCAGCCCAGGAAGGCTGTGTGCAGACACACACACACACCCATGAGGTACGGGTTCACTTCAACCCTTCTCCCCCTGCTATGGCTGCAAGGACATCTGAGTCTCCCACTGGAGGAGTCCCTGAGAGCCAACCCGTTCCCAGGATCCCCATGGCCAGGACTTCAGGCCTTGGACCAAATACTACAAACCAATTGGACACCACTGAACTGGGCAGACAGAAAATATGTGGGTAATTCACATACTGTAACATGCAGCCTGCAGGAAAAAATTGGGGGCACCAGAGGGCAAAGTCACATTAAAACAGCAGGTACAGGGTGAGCCTGTGCTTGGGATGATCCCAGTAGCGCACCTGCCAGAGAGACTCTCAGACACTCTAGAGGCTGAGGCAGGAGGGTCACATGGTCCACCCACCCTGAGCAACTTGGTAACTAAGCAACACATTAAATATAAAATCTCAAAAAGGGATGGGAGGGCTGGAGAGATGGCTCAGTGGTCTAAAGCACCTACTTAGAACAAGCTTAGCAAAGCATCAGGGACCACGGTTCAATCCCCCAGCACCACATGCCAGCCAGCCCCGCCCCCTGGTGGGCTGAGCTGGCCACACACACACACACACACAAAATAAATAAATAAAGCAATGGATTCTTACTTTAAAAAAAAAAAAGGGATGGGAATGGAGCTCTGTGTGAAGGCCCAGGTTCAATCCCCAGCACTGCAAAACAACACTTTCAACTAGAGACAATTCTGCCCCACTGCCAACACTGGACCATGTCTGGGGACATCTGCAGATGCCAACCTAGGGATGTACCTGGTATGGAGTGGGTGGAGGCCAGGGACTCCGCTCAGCACCTGCTCAGGATGGACTGGTCTCAGTGGCCTCACGGCCAGGCCAGTTTTGTGCAGTGACACTATGGAGCAGGGCAGCTCTGAGACAAGGGGAGAGGGACTCCGAGCTGCCTGTCAGGAGGACCCTCCCAGACGAGTCTAGTCCAACCCTGTCAGCCAGCTAGCGGAGGAGAGCTGAGAGCCAAGGGGCTGAGGAGGCCAGCCACGCAGCACGGGAGCACAGGAGCCTTCAGAAGCCGCAGGGCTTGCTGAACCTGTGCTTTAAAGGTAATTTATTTTTTTAAATTTTATTTATTTATTTATTTGTGTGCAGCCAGCTCAGCCCACCGGGGGCGGGGCTGGCTGGCATGGGGTGCTGGGGGATTGAACCATGGTCCCTGTGCTTTGCTAAGCTTGTTCTGAGTAGGTGCTTTAGACCACTGAGCCATCTCACCAGCCCCCAAACCTGTGCTTTAAAGGGCCAGCCTGCGAGCGTTGGCAGCTTTTTGTCCCAGTCAGTCTCCGTAATGCCTGCTCATTACTGAATGTACAAGCGATGCTCAAGAGAGCTACAGGAGGGGGCTGTACCCTTCTTTCCCTTAATGTTTCACTTACTTCCACTGTGCTCGATGAAGAAGCATGTCCATGTAACATCATAGGAATGGAACTGCTCTTTGCATTTTCCCCCCTAACTGTTTAAAAGTACAAAAACCAGCTCAGGTCGGAGCTCTTGTCTCGCATCTCTCCCTGGCACCCACAAAAAGGAAAACATAAAAAGGAACACAAACCATTCTGAGCCTGCAGAGTGCAAAAGCAATTCTCAGGGGAGGGACAGTACATGAGGCTGCTGATGTGGCCCTGGCCAGTGCCCACCTGAGGAGCTGGATCCATGTGGCTGAAGCTGAAGACGCAGAGTTCACAGGTGTGTGCATTAAACAAACCCACCATCACCCAAGATATCTGGTAGGAGCTGGGGCTCAGTGGCAGAGCAAATGCTTTGCACGGATGAGGCCCGGGTCCCATCCCTAGTATCCACCCTCAAATTAAACCATAATCAGCATCAAAACCATCTGTCATCTGAGCGCTGTGGTTCATGCCTCGAATCCAGCTATTTGGGAGGCTGGGACAGGACAATCACATGTTTCAGGCCAGTCTGGAAACCTTAGTAAGACCCTACCTTAAAAATATAACAGAGAGGGGCCGGGGAGATAGCTCAGTTGAATAAG